GGCGGTGTCGGACAGTTTGGTTTCGGAGGTGCTGCACCGATCGGAGGCAATCGCTTTGCAAACGGTAATGCGATTGGAGGAGATATAAACCGTGGGCGTCGTCAACTTTGATCGGTGAAGAAGCTTTTGAGTGTCTTTGCTTTGTGCTTTTATCTTTTCCAGTGTCAGTTTCGCTTGTGTTTCTAGCTGTAAAGACAAACGAGAATAAATCAAAGTATGTTTTGAAATAGTTGGTAAATTCCGTTTTTCGCCAAATCTTACTTCATAACCAAGATTTTTTTTCATCTATTGTTAATATATAAGTTTATATTAATATATTGTATCCATTTGTTTAAATTGGTATAATCCGCTTAGAACTTTTGTGCATCTACCGAACAAATTTTTTTGACTTCTAATATTATAAAATTATACTTTTATTTTTTTTCCCTGATAATTAACTCTAAACTGATTTTTTTCTTCCAATGTTTTCTCGTCTGTCGTCGCCTTATCTAAGCCAAATCACGTTACTGTCATGATGTACGATTGGTCATTAAATTATGAAGAAAAGACGAGGTTACGTTGGGACTGGCTTTGTACCTCATTGTATACCCTAAAATATCGTGTAAATTAAGTTGGTCCTTTGAGTGCTCATTGATGAATGTTGAGTCACCACGGATTAACAACTAGTTTAATCTGAGTTCGTTCACCAAACGAATATGATGTAATAGTTATATCCGGAAAGTATACATATAGCTGCAATATCAATGTTTAGCTGTTTTGGGTGGCGTTATCTCGTATCTTACACTTGCAGCGGGGCTGCCGTAGCTCTTTGCTCAAACGAAGGTGAGCTAAGGCGACCGACCTTACGTTCTTTACAAGAGCCAGAAGGAGTGTAGCGGATCGCAATTTGATATCTTTAAGAGTACTTAGAATCTCAACCAAGGTAAAGACGCCCATCCGTTTAAATTTGAAACTATATTGAATTGTTTATTTGCGGCAGAGTCGCCTTTATCTAAAACCTTAGGTATCCAAATTACAAGAATAACCTACTTCAGGTAGTCCTGCCGTGTAGCCACACTATTGTATGATTACACCAACTTGTGGAATCCACACCTATGTACGGTGACACGTTCTTGTGACGCCCGCCCTTTCATACAAAAGTACGTGTAACCCGTTACACTCTCCCACATCAAAATCGTGAATATCATCACTTCACACCTTACTGTCGCCTCATATGAGGCTTGTGAGGCTTGTGTGTCTAGGATACCGTTACGCCCTTAAAGTATTCTCCGCTCAATGAGCTCTGTGTCTATGACCCAACCTAGCTTGTCCCGAGGGCGCCTGCGGGTGAAGCCATTCTTCTTCTTCTGCACGGGGTAAATGTTTAGTCCATAGCGTGATGAATGATTCTAAAAATGCACGCAAGGAGTTGCAAGATGTTGAGATCAGCTCTTATCTGTGAGGAATTCTGTGCTGGGCCCGTCACAAAAATAGGTTTATATTATGAATCGTAAAGCACTGATTGCAAGAGAAGGTAAACTGTCCTGAGTGATCCCATGGCGCGACAAGCAGAGAGCGGATTAGCGTAGCCTATCAGTGCATTCTTATAGTTGTAGATGAAGGCAAACTATCATCACATTAACACCAGCTGTGTTACCCATTTTCCACTTTTATGGAATAGACTACGTGATTACGTATGATAGCGCATGCTAGACACCGCGTTTTAAAGCAAAAGCCATGGCTACAACACGTGCATCTCCGGACACTACGTCTGCGATTCCACAAGTAGTACATCACAAGCCCCCTCGGCAACCGATCACAACAGACCGCGCCACCCCAGTCGACAGATTTCCTCATCGAGATTTCCTCGTCGAGGGGCTGGAAGAAGTCGACTACGAGTCGGATACTCCTTTCCCAGCATGAGAAGACAGGAGCTTGAGATGCGCCAACGGCGCGACGTGAGCCTAACTCGAACGATGCGCACACCGCATCCGTTCCCCAACCTCTCGACTTCCGGGGAAAGCGGTATTGTTGCCGCCTCGACGAGGAATAGGAGCGTCGGTTGGAGGCTGCCCACAGGGCGTCTCTCATGCACTCACACCAACGTTTGGTCCTGGATCCTCGTGTGTAATACGGCTTCCTAACGGCGGATCCCGCTACTGAAGCGATAGACGCGATCATTGGATCGTTAAGCATCTGCGTGATCGGGCCCCCGCCCACTACATAAGCTGAGCTTGATGAGCGAAAAGCTTTTCGAGCTCGATTCTTGGCTATTCAAAA